TAGCCCAGCCCTAATTGCTAGTGTGACGTCTGTGGGATTGTCTCTGTGGCCACCAGAACTGCGTCTTTTTGGCACTTCCACATAGGCTTCATTTCTTCTTCTTCTCTTTAGTCTCATAATTTACCACAGCATGGCAACACAGTCATTTTGGTTCTTTTCCTTAAACGCTAACCTTGTGAGTCATCTCCTTTTATAATAAATCCCTGTGTGTCTTGTCTTTCAATTGTGGCTTATTTTATGCTCCCACTCTTCTGTTTTAGGCTGAGCTGCATCAAAGATCTGTGTTTAAATCCAACTCGAGACATCTGTCGTTATTTTTTTTTCTCTACCTTCCATCTTCTCTCCTCTTCTTTTCATAAACTGTTTAATGAAGAGTAATGCTGGTAATCTCTATGAAAACATCTCTCTGTGTCCTCTCCATTTGCTGTTGGTCTTAACGTCTCTGCCTTTTTGCTTCTCGAAATTCTTCCCAGCTTTTCCATCTTCACAGTGGGAGGCGCAGCAAACACACTGTAACTAAAGACGCACAGCCACACATTTATTCGCGTTGTGAAAGAGTTGTAAACCGGGAAGTCACACATTTAAATTAGCGGTGGCAGATGCTTGGAATCCGCTGCAGTGCTGCTGTGAGGAATAGTGGTGTTTCTTTCACTTCAGGCCCACAGACAGCACTTTCAACTCCCAGCCTACTTGTTCAGTTTTTCAACAGTTTCACCTCCTTTTTGTCTGCTACTCTGCCGTGTGGCCTTTGATGTTTTTGAAAAAAGTAAAGAGAGCGTGAGCGAGAAGCGCAGAGGCATGTTTTATCTTCCCACGCAGTCACATGCTCTGGTGTATGGCTGTACCCTCCCTGAGACGGGGACCTCTGCACAGCGGTGCTCTGTTGCCGTACTTTGAGCTGCCGTGGCAACAACTTGGGAGATGCGTTTTTGTTTGTATCTGGTTTTGAGTGACAGCTTGAAAACGCTGCCTGACACCTGCGTGGTGACGACGTTGCTCGCCAAGGCGCAGGACAGAAAGGGTCCAAAAACTCCTGCTGTGTGTTTTCCATGTCTGTTGATCATGTGTAAACACCTTGCCACAAGGGTGTACTTGAAAAAGGGGTTCTACTTTTGTCTACTTTGTTCATTGCTGTGTGTGAGTTCGTCCATGTGAATTCATGTTTGTTATATCTGCTGGCTTTCTTTTTTTTCCTCGGTAGGTGGCAGGAGGGGGTTTGCTTTGACGTTGTTAGCAGGGTGGGTGGGTAAGTCTCTATAAACACGCTCAAAAAGCTATTTGAAAAGGTTTGTCACGGAGAGTGGAGTGGGGTAGGGTTTTGTTTTTTGGCTTTTTTTGTTTTTACCTTTTCAAAATCCATTGGAGTGTGTTATCACTCTACCAGTCATGAAACGTCTAAAGAAATGTTTTTGTGCCATCAAAAGGCACAGGAGGGCTTTTCTGTTTTGGATGAAAGGAAAACCCCAGTTTTCCAAAACGTGGTACTGCAGCTTTCATGACCGTTGGAGCCTAAAAAAGCTTGTGATCATAATCTAAAACTATAGTTCCTGTTTTAAATGAATGGACACTTATTGACAGAATGCATTTCCCTATTTTCACTGTCTGTGTCTGTGTGGGGCTGTTAGTAATTAATATGGTCATCTCAAGCACCGAGCTCGGGCTATAAGCACAGAAGCCCCACCCCCTTGCTGTGAGACCCTCTGTTTGTATGGGCCAGCCAATCAGAAGACAGAGAGGACAGCCATTTTTTTTCCGGGGAAACAAACAACAAGCACTCTGGGAGGCAGCTCATTCTATAGACAGTGCTTATTTTTAAGGGAATATTATTGTATTATGTGTATATTCATTTTGTTTTCTTCTGTTTTTAAAATGCTTTTACTACTAAGACGTCTGTGAGTCTGCAGTAATAAGGTAGCAATGGCAGCTGTTGAGAAATGATGATTCAAACATTATGCAGGAGTAAAAGGTATTCATTCGACATGATTAACTTTAACTTGTTCTAATATCATCCTATACTATATTTGGCTACAAAGTTTTATTAGGATTCATTCAAAACGTTTTGAGCGATTGTGTTTATAAACAGATGACGGGCACACAAATGCTACCAGAAGGTAAAAATGCATGTAAAGCTACTCTTAGTGCAGGCTAAAGGCTGCAGCTGGTGCAGGGATTATAATACAATTTAGTGAGTGATTGTCTTTGGATGAATTGTGGAACGTACAGACTTTGAAATGTAGAAATTAAAAATAACAGTTGTTTTGTTTTTTTTAGTTTTTTGTTGCTATTTGTTTCCAAGGAAACAAAGGAATTGTAATTCCTTAAAAACAACAACAACAACAACAACAACTTAACACTATCTTTGAAGAAAGTAGCAGCAGCGCAATATTGATGAAACACAAGTGATAAATGTTGGCCAATACTGATGCCGAGCTGGTAATACCTTAATGGACTGTGTTAACCTCAGTGAGCTCTTCATCTATTTGGCTTTTTTAAGCTTTACTTTGATGGCTTTTATAACCTGCAGCATCAGACTCTGTTTTATGTTGTATTTAATGATAAATAGCAAAGGATGAAAGGCTAACCAGAGATGTCGAACATTGTAAACATGCTGCAGTGTTTATAACCGTACTAGAATACTGATGTTATCTTTTATCTTCAAGCACCACTGTGCTTAAGTACTAACCTTGTTTTTGCTCCTGATTAACCATCAGCAGAGACAGGAGAGACAAATCCTCCATTAACAGCCAAATAAGAAAAAGCAAAGTTGAATTTGGCGTGAACCTAAAGCGGCCACGAGGTTAAGAATTGTGTCACATGACCACATCATCTTTTGGTTCTCTGTCATGAGTGTGTTCTTCCTTTATGCGAGCTTACTCGCCATGCTAACAACACCAGTAGCTAACAAAAAAGAAAAAAGGCGGGGGGGTATGCATTGTGAAAGATATCGCTGTGTTTGAAATGCAACCCCGGTGGCTATTAAAGACATATCGATCATATTCTATACATAGAAATGCAGAAACTTAAATGTGGCTCAGCACAGCCAAATCTAATTAGCATGCACATGAATTCACCACCTCATGTGTAACAAAGAGATAAAGAAGCATGAGAGGGATTATTAATCTTTGCTGACAACTCCACATGTGCAGCTGGCACATTTCAGCAGCTGCATAGCACTTGGCAGAGGTGTGCTCTCAACTGAGTGTCGTCTAGTTCTGTGACTGTGTTTATCTGTGTCTATCTTTTTGCCTTAAGTGTGTGTGTGTGTGTGTGTGTGTGTGTGTCAGCAGTCATTAGGACTTGGCAGGCAGTCAGTTTGTATTGCTGATGCTGACAAGCTTGTCTGGGAAAGATTGGAACATACTCCCTGAGCTCGTTTTTATGACACGCACTAACTGTGTGTGTGTGTGTGTGTGTGTGTGTGTGTGTGTGTGTGTTGTGTCATAAGCTGTTTAACATGCGCACGCCAATTTAAGTTGGCAGAGGCCCCTCTTCACTAAAGTTAAGAGTTTTGACAGGAGGCTGTTCGATCTGGTTCCTGTCCTCTTGTTTGTCCATCTGCATTTTGATTCACTTGCTGCCTGTCTAACTTAACTTCGCCTTGTCCTACAGCATATACACGTAACAGCAACAGGAAAGCTTGCTTTTGTATTTATTTGCTTGTTTTTGTAATTTTCTAACAGGCAATTTCTCAGAGACCTGAACTGGTGAAGGACTCGCACCGCTGGCTGGCTGAGACGAAGGTTTGATTCAGCTTTTGTCCCTGGAGAAAACCATTCTTACACACAAATAATACAGTCAAGACATAGTGAAGATTTTTGTTTTAACAAGGGATTATATATAATATTAACATAAGGGTTTGCCAGAGTTGGCTTAAAACTCATTTGCATCTGCAGTTCTTCGCCAGGTTACATGGAGAAGATCACAAACGTAAATCACAAAACAAACAAAGCGTCCGCACACCTATGAGAAAATAGACATCAGTGTTCATATTCTGTGAGTTTTTAAAGCTGGTGTTAGAGCTGCAGTTCTTAATGAAAAAGAAAGCAGAGCGATGAAAACGTACAGCGCAGTCTTAAGTTGAAGATAACCTTGTAGATTTGACAGATTCTGCTGCGCAAAAGTTTAAAAAATGAGGCGGTGGAGGAGCTGCCAGACCGTTTAAGATCTTTAATACCAAACACATCTCGGAAAATGATTTCATATTTTTCAGACTCATTAAATGACGCCTCGCCAGACTTTTTTGTCCGTTTTTTTTTTTATAAAGAGACTCCTGTGCTTTAGTGACCGTTTCCTCAGTTTGTCCCCAACATGCTAAACAACATGAAATATGGGCAAGATGGCAGCCGTGAAAGTGTGAGCAGCACGCAGTGAGAGGCAGCCTCTAGTTATCTGGCTTTTCCTCATTTGACAGAAACGTGTGCATTTTCTTAATAAGTTGTTAAGAGTTCTGAACAGTTAATAAACAACGGTTGAGTAGTTAAAACCTCAATTACCAAAACTGCACGAAGTCTTTCATGTCTGGATAAAACTGCTTTAAGCGATGCCAAAAATGTCTTCGTGCCAGGAAAGCCCTCCACCATAGATGTGGAGATATATTTGTGCAAACATTTACTGTGGTAAAAACTTCTCAGACAACTACGATGCTTCACTGTTGAACTATTTTGCTGTGTACCGATGTGTGCTTAGAGTCTGCAATAAATGTCAGTGTCATTCGAATGTCAATGAAAGTCAGATAAGAGTTGAGTTTTACCAGGTTCCCCAACGATAGCTGTAAATTAAACTTCTCACAGACATGCAGCCATATCTTGTTATCATCGGTGCTTTTATATCAGTTATATAAGCGTTTCCACGATGTTCTCGCGGGCCTCATGCGACAGAGGAGACGCTCGCTGTCGTCCTCGGCCCTTTTAGTTGCCACCTGCCTTTCTCCGAGACAAATAAATCCCCGTTTATTGTTGTAAACTTTCAAAAGAAATGTGTAATTAAGGCTGCGGCTGTGATGCATGATATCGTGTTAAAATGTGTTTGCACAATTTGTAGTGTTTATCACTGTAATGTATCTCCTGTCAGAAATTCTCTCAGAGTAATGTGCATTTACAAGAGTAAAACGCTGGAGAACAAGGGAGGTAATTAGCTCCCTTGTTAAGAGTTTTTATGGTAGTATAATGTAGGTATGATTTACAGGCTTACAGTGCACAGTTGGAATAACAATTGAACCAGTCATTTGGCTCTGCTGTTGTAGGAAACAGTAAATTTACACTGCTGTGCTCATTTTGTGTGGTTTGGTTTTTTTTCTGACGTGACTTTACAACCTGGGTCTGGATTCATCTAAAAGACAAAATGATAAAAATAATAATGTTGAGATTTGAGCTGAATTATCAGCAGAGCTGTAAACTGGCAGCTTAGACAGGATGGAGGAAAACGCCTTTGAAAGTAATGAAAAATTAAGTTTTTATGAAATGATTTGGCTGCACAGGGAAAATAAGGATCAGGAAGATTTGTCCTCTTTGCATTGATCGGCGTGCAGGATTCTACATTAGAAAACCCAGAAAATCGCTTTTCATGTTCCAACCTGTGTATTAAATGTAGTGTGTCATGGTGGGGCCTGAGGCTTGCTGGCCTGATCCCCTCCACAGTTTCCAGCCTAACTACAACAATGTTTGTCTTTATTAAACCAACCAGACCAAGCTGCGCTGGCTGTGTGAGGAGGTGCGTGAGCGCGACACTAGAGAACAGCGCCTGAGGAGGCAACATCAGCAGACCAGGGATCAGTTGAAGGCCCTCAGGCAAAGCCGCGACTCAGAGCAGAGAGCTCTCCTGCAGCGCCTGGACCAACAGGAGAAGCTGATGCACTCGCTCAGCACTGAAAAGAAAGGTAGGATCTAATTGGAGAAACGCCTTCATGTTGATTTCACTCACACTCGGGATGCCCCTGCACAGCATCGGGCAACACAAATCACAGTCGTTCGGCCTGTAAAGGCAGCTAGCAGCTGTTAGAGAGCACAGGATGAGAAGTCCTTTAGTTCTCCATGCTCTCAGCATTCACGAGGGTGAGAAGTTGTACTTATCATAGCCAGCTCTCCATGAAAGCCTCCTCTCTCTCTCTCTAATGGTTGCTTTTGATTAACACAGCTGTCAGACTCCAATCTCCCGTTTTCATCCTCTCACATTTACATGTAATCACACCATCATTAAGAAAGTAATTCAGCGCAGGCGTGTGACAGAAGTGTTTTTGTTACTCACTGTTTGTTGTGTTTAGCTGTAATGGATGCTGGTGAAAACGACTGTGTGTGTGCCTGAATCATTGTTTTTTGTTTGTTACGATGGGTCTGACTGTTTGCAGTTGCAGATGTTTGAGAAAGAATCTTAATGGTTTGTGAACTTTGAGCCTCGCGTGGAAAGATGACTTGTTTTTTGACTGAATTTCTCCTAATGAGCTGTAACTGGCAGAGGAAGAGAAGCTTGTTTTCAGCGCTCCGTCTGAACAATACGGGGAAATGAACCTAATTTGTGTTCCATTATCAGAGATCTAAACACACAGGGGGACTGAAGACAGCTGGATAACTCGGTATGGTCAAGGAGATGGAAACAGAGTTAGCTATCTGTTTACATTTTTCTTTTCTTTCGAGTAAAGTGATTGGACAATTCAGTTAATGATACACGCAAGATCACTTCGATCACCTTTGGAATCAGCTCCTCCTGCCTCTGGATCAGCAGTTTGAGTCTGCACTGCAGTGATGTGGTCTCTTTAGTAGTTAGAGCTAAGAGTAATCTTTTGTCACAGCAGCAGTATCTGAGTATTGAAGGTGTGGATTTTATCACCTCTGCTATAAACTCTTCTTCTCAGCAACGGCTGTAATTACACGGTGCATTTTGCAACTACATCCTCAACCATGCATTATGGTAAATACTAATTAATGAATATTCTCAAAGGGGGAGCTGTATTCTCGTGAGCTCTGAGAGCTGCTTGTTTTTATCTCAACACATTAGCCATTATTGCCAGCACTCAGCGGAGACATTGTGTGGTGTACAGGATTTGTGTCAGGTTGCGGTTGCGGTTTGTGTATTTTTCCTAAGACCTTTCATCACTTGTGCAGTGCTCCCTGTTGGCCCTTTCCCTTAAAAACAGGTCTGCAGTGTATGTGTGGAAACAGCTGTTCTAGTATTACAGATCCTCCTGCAGCTGAGAGGGGCTGGACGTGTCGGTCAGCGGAGACACTGAGCTGTGAAAACGTAGTGTCACAGTTACATGTTTCAGATCATCAAACCAGTTTTTAGATTAGTAAAGAGAACTCGAGTAAATACGATGATTTTGACCGCATGGCATTAAAAACTGTGTAATTCTGTTAAATTAAAACCACAGACTCTCATATTTCATGGCTTTTCCTAAAATGGGCTTATTGGTAAAGTACTGAAATTTGGGGTGTGTGGGGGTAAAAAAAATATGAACACTTATACTTAGAACAACCAAAGACGCTGCTGTGAAATTACAGATTACCTAACATCACAATGGTTCACACACATTTTTTAAACTTTAAGGCTTCCAAAATTAGCTGGATGTGATTCATAAATATGTAACTACAGTGGCTAAATATAAAGTAAATAAATAAATCCAGATCAGAGCAGCTGATCGAGGTGACGAGGTCGCGCGGTGTGGTCGCAGGTTTGGTGATCAGAGGCAGACGTGAACTAGATGATAAATACATTTTTTCTCTCTTACACTTTTACAGTAATTAATAAAAAATATGTTTCTTACATTTTTGTGGCTAACTGTGAGGTCAGATTTAAAAAGGAGGCAATCAGCTGTTCAGTCTTTGTCACAGTGTTTATTGTAGCTCAGCTACAAACGTGTAGCTGCGCTACATCCAGAATAAACTTAACTCTTCATAATGTTCTTTTTCTGTAATACTTCAATTATTTGCTAGTTATTCTGTATCACTTATTATCACTTATTAGTTAATTGTTTTGTCCTGTTTAACTTTATAATCTGTAATGAAATTATCAAAATCATTTATAAAACTAATGAAAACCCTCAAAATGTTATTTTAATACTTGTTTTGTTGAATCTTACATTTAATTTCAATCTTAAATTTCAACAATTAGAAGGAAATTAGTAACTGAAATGATTTATTTGCCATTTCTAGTGCTGTGGTTGGATGGAGTCAAAATTAGCCCTCCTGGTGCTTCTTATGAGTTAGGGTATAATGGCAGTTCTAGTGTCCGGGGAAGCTATTCAGACCAAGCTGGACCTGTGTGAAAATGTAATTGCCCCATAAACATAATAACTGGTTAACTCGCAATAAGTGGCAATGAGTCTTTGAGATCACTGTGGAGGAATTTAGTCCACTCTCCTTAGCAGAATAGTTTGAATTCAGCCACATTGGAGGGTTTCCCAGAATGAACGGCATCTCCATCAGAATGAAGTCCAGACTTTGACTAGTGCGCTCCACTCGTGGATTATTGTCCTGCTGAATAATCCAATCAATCTTTAGGGCATTAAAACTACCTGGATTTTCTGATGGAGAGCAGAATTCATGTTTCCATCGATTACAGCAAATCATCCAGATACTGAAGCTGCAAAGCAGCCCCAGACCATTTCATTTCATTTCATTTCATTTATTTATTTATTTCACACTTGGTACAACAATTCAAACCAACCACACTTTCTATCAAAAAGCACTACAACCATGTGTGAAAAGGAGCCTGCCCCCTATCTACAATCCAATTTATATTACAAGTGGGCACCAAAAATCAGGGAACAAACTAACATTAACATTTATCTCCGGTCCTAACCCAAACCAAACAACACATTTACAATCAGAATATACCACTCCACATAGCAACAAGGAGAAAAATAAAATGAAAATAAATAAAACAAAAAAGTTATAATGGATCCTTTTTCAGTGAACTCCAATTTCATTCACATTCTTCATATTGAGTTATTGTTTTAAGCATGTAACACTTTTTAAAACAATGTAAATTTATACAATTCTTTAAATTATCATGAAGTGAGTTCCATAGTCGTATACCTCTAACCGTTGGACTCATTAATCTTTGTGTAGTCCTAGCTA